CTCGAGACGAGATACCAAAACGGCTTTTATGTTACCCAAATACAACTATCCAGCTATGGCCCAACCTGCGGACAGATTTTTTTGGTTTAACACATCAGCCTAAGAACTAAATATTCCTATAGGCTATGCCCAATATTATGTCAAACCGTATGAGAAAGATGGACCCCTTACAGTTTGATATCATTGCCTGGAATTTTCTTCAGTCATCATCAATCCCAGTCCTCAAGTCTTTCATCTTTATTGAACGGAAAAATTAGACGAATCACTACCTTCGACCCTCTGTATTCATGTCCAGACAACTATAAAGTTGAATTAGTTCAATAAGATTACTTCTCGCTTTTGACAACAGATAAAGTGAATACACAAAACTGGAGACCCCAATTCATCCCCCCTTATAGAGTTACATAAGCGAATTCAAAATAATTTAATTCACGACTTGCTCTATGTACTCAAGAACGCCATTAGACTTGTCTTTGGCGTTCTCATATCGCTCCAAAATCAGCGACGCTTCGATGTCGTAGATGTCCGGCACCGGCTGCCTCTCATAATTCAGGGGCGCATCCGAGATGGAATGCGGGATGAACATAGAGCCATTCGTGGTGATCGGCGTTTTGTCCTCGCGGATACCCAATCCCGCCGGCTCACCATCCACGAACCAAAGACCGAGGACGGGGTACTGCGGAACGTTTCGCGTGTCTTTGAACTCCGGCAGCAGTGCGAGCTCTTGCAGAATGTATCCTTCCTTGCCGTAGTACCCGGTCTTGGAGTCCTGGATCACCCGGCCGTCTGCGTGCAGAAGTACGTCGGCGCCTTCGCGCGCGAAGATCGGCTTCCGCGCGTACCTCGTGAGCGAGGCCGGCGCCTCATTCTCGAAATAGGTCGGCAGTAGCCATTTCGACCGCGGGTCGTCCTTGAAGAGCTCCCAAAGGATCGCGAAGAGGGCCTTGTTGCTCCACAGCATCTTGTAGGGCGCCTCGATCCAGATGGTCCCTCCGACATATTCCCCGGCCGCGTTGCGCTGGCCGATCGTCTCCATGTCCTTGAAGCATGCCTCTCCGAACTCTTGCCCGACCATGTACTCCCACGGATAGAGCTTGAAGATGACATCAATGTGCTCGCCATCCTGGTCGAAGAAACGCCCATCGGGGGATAGAGCAATCTGTTCTATGTACAAGGTTTTAGTAGGCCATCCCGCTTGTCGACATGTGTCCAGTAGAAGGGTGGTGTTCATGGCGTCCTCTCCCGTAGGCTCCCCCCTTCCGACCGCGAAGTGCACTGTGGGACGATGCCCCAACTTCTGCTCGATCAGATCTAGATTTCTCTTCCATGCCTCGATGAGTCTCTCAGTAAGGGAGTTGTACTGGTCGTTTCCGTGCCCTGTCTGCTGAAGCCATAACCATTGGATTACAGCAGCCTCCACGACCGACGTGGGCGTGTCCGCATTGAACTCATAGAATTTCGGGACTCGCAGCCTCGGGTCCGGATGATCGAGACCTCCAAAGCAGACATCGAATCGCCCATAAACGCTTCCCCAGGCGGGCTCTTGATTCCACGATTCCTTGATCTGCTGAAGTGCGAACGCAGGAATTGCCATTTTGCTTGTGATCACTTCGGGATGCTCCACAAGATAGTCGGCAGCCTCGCAACACAGGTCAAAGACGTCTTTCCCTGCTTGTTCGAGCAGCTCGATCTCCTTGCTGGTAAAAGAATAGTATCGGTCATCCGGCCAGTACGGGTCTGATGTATTTCCCGGACCGGGATTCTTGGAATACACAAGGCCTTGGCTCTGTACGAGCCGCGTTGCGTTGGGCCGCTTCTCTACGGGGATACGTCGCATGACTATTGTCTGTGGTATCTAATGTCAAGAAGTAATCAATTATATGTTAGTTACAGAAGGATATGTATTCTATGTGAGTGTTCAAAGGAATGACCATCAACGTAGTGAGCAATCCTATTTATCTTATTTTCCAAGGCTACCTAAGTCACAGGCAGGGACTATACTCCTTTTCGAGGACGAACTACGGTCTTTTGAGAACACTACGGTACGTATTTGAAATTTTTGGCTTACGAGATGAACATAACAACTAAAACTAACTATTATGTGTGTCTGTCCGTTAATGGATTGGAATAATAGCTATCCCACAATCCCTCAGAACATCTATAGTGGGGTGAAATAAGTGTCGTCCAATTTTAGAATTTACCACCTTTTAACTTTAATAATAACTCTATTGTGATATTGCGATATCACGATATATCTTACATTACATGCTAATTTTCCATATACGTTAGGTATTTACTGTATTTTGTTCCCTCTTTATTTAACGACGTCTTATTATTACATAAATAGGGGAAAACCGTAAGTTTCATTGTGTTTATTTTGAACTATATGATATCATGGTATGTTATTATGTCATCTTTATGAAGTAGGCCCAAGATATTCTTTTCGAGGATATCCTCGATATGACGATGTATAAAGCGCGTTTGAAGGGTATCGTTATGAAGGGAGTATACCTTGGATTGTAAAACTCAGGTAACAATATCCGAAGGATCAGAACTGTGCCGCAACAGCGGGCACGTTGAAATTAGTAGTAGCCACATTTCAAATAAACATGGATACGATGAGGTGTCAATGCCAGACTCAGTGCTGGTAGCACTACCAACCTAATCCTCCACAATATAACAACAGAATGATCACCATAAGCATTCACTAATACGACAGGGGAAAATAGCAGGTGCATGATCAGGACGGCAAGTCAGACGCAAATATAGAAATGGATCGTCTATGAAATGTAGTTAACTTGCCTAGTTAGGGACGACAACACAGTAGTATCGGCGTTGCGTCACACGACGGCTGACAGCAATAGCTCCGTTTTTGACCTAGTCGCTATCTCCGGTGAATAATGCCGTAGTCGAAAAGTCGTTTCAAGAGCCTGGTAAAGAATGAATGGATCCTTTACAGGTAAAGAGTAGAGCTAGCTTAGAAATCCTGTTCTCCATAGGGATATGGATTATCGTCAAACATGTCAAACTGCTCGTGAAGCTATAAAAAGCGGCCAAATGATTAAAGTCGTACCACATGAAGAAGTACAATCTGTGCCACCGTGCATTACAAGAGGAACCCACAGAGAGGAAGGTCGCGAAAAGTATAAAGGGGCAATCCTTCTGACTTGTCTGAGAGTATCAAACAGCATCACAACCCATCAGATCAATCAAGAAAGCCCTAAATCCATCCCTCTGCTTCACTAAAGCAACCTTCGAAAATAAAAGCTATACGACCAACTCATCATACTTTGGAATCTTATCAAATACCGTTAACATGAGGCGCGAGCAGATCACTCTCCCAACTCTCCAGCTCGCAGCTGCGACCTTTTTCGCCGTAACCTGCCACGCGGAGACATACTGTGTTGACCAAGCCTCGAAGGTCGTCGCGAAGCCTAACTGCGATGCCGGGCACGCCCCCGGGGACTTCTTCTTGGTCCAGGGCCCGCCCGATGCCGCCATCGGCACCGTCATCCCTAGCGGCCAGAAAGTCGGCAGGGAGACCCTCGCCGAACGCCGGGCTGCCATGATGGCCGATAAGGGCTTCGTTTCTGGCGGCTTCGGGAAGAAGGACGATGACGATAATAACAACGGCGGCGGTGCTGGGTCTTAAGTTGGAAGATTCAGGGGGGACTCTTGGGGAGGAATTTCAACCGCTTGGGTATGGATAGGCGTTTGGATTGGATTGTCATTTGGTGTATCTAGACACAAATCGGCCCACTATGCTCATTCTTTTACTATATTACCATTGCACTCTCTATCTCTCTTCTCTCACTTCCTGTGCACCTGCATATGTTTTGTTCCTAGGTAACGTCATGAATATCAGTTTATATATCCGGGCATCGATCCAGGAGGTAGAGTTAAAGATATTCCGAGTATATAGATACGCGCATTAACCCTCTAATAGTCTAGATAGCTACTAGCTTGGATTGTGACCCGGTTACGTAAGACATCCTTCTCGACATTACAAGATTTAACTTCTTATTGCTTCAGAACTCCTTAGCACTCCTATTAAAATATACCGGTGTCGAAGTGCTTACAGATGCTATTACGTTTACGGCTAGTATGGTTACGTAGCTTCGTCTCCAAGGGTGGTTCGGGAGAAAGCATAGTCGATGATGTTCTCAAGTGATGATTGGTGGTGGTGAAGGGCCAATGCCATTTGCCTTGTTAAGCCCTGAAAGAGAGGTAAATATATATCTGTCGCGGACTATATAAGGGCTAATTGTCAGAAGGGCAATTAGCGTTCGCTTTTGCCACAATATCACATAAAGTGCTAGGGTCCTTACGGCTAGCTTAATTCTTGAGGTGAAGCCGAAAAGACTAAGCACGTTAAGGTGAAAGAATGTGATGATAATACGGATTAAGGGGGGTTGGGGATTCAAAGTCCAACTCTAAGCAGATAATATCCTTACTATATAGAGATATATCACTATCATGTTTCTGCCATAGCCTTGATTATGATATGTACGGTCCATAACAGAGGTGCAAGTGGCAGGTGGACCATGTTGAGCGCTATAGAAACAAACTGTGTTACCTACGTCGGCTTTGCGGCTTTCCGAATGGAAGCGTGGTGAAGGTTTCAGCTGTGTGGTAAACTCTCTATATAGAGTATACTGTGTATGTACCATTCAATTTTTGAAATCGCATGCTGGGTATCGGTATTGATTGAGTGTAGGGCATCTCGGCTTCCGCTTGTTTGTGTAACCAAGTCCATGTCCAAACTAAGGTACAAACACTGCAGGTAGTGCATGGCAACCGCCAAGCTATCCCCGCATTAAATTTGCCCTGCTCCAATCCTGTCCAGTGCTGCCACCAATCCTTCAAATATATAGCATAATAATTTTAAATTTCTTCAACATTGACTTGGCGAGTTGGCCTAGCGGCTTGATTCCCCAAGGGGCCGTGCCGTCTCTCAGTGGTTTGCGACCACCGGAGTGGTATGACTCTTCAACCAATCAGGCTTGGTGGTCTAGTGGTATGATTCTTGCTTAGGGTACTCTCTATCCGAGTTGCAAGAGGTCCCGGGTTCGATCCCCGGCCAAGCCCTTTCTTCAATTTTTTCCCCGAAAATTAATTAATCAATCCCATTTTGTTCCCGGAAAACGATGCTACACCCTTCTAGTCACTACATATAATATAGCTTTCACTTGTTATTTTCCCCTTCTTGGCCTTTTTTTAATTTTCTCGCTCTTAGACGTGGTTACTAAGCGTGTTAGCAGTCTTAGTTAGAACCATGGCCGGATAAGTCTCGGTGTCTTATAGGTGAGTCTTAGTTCGATCATTAAAATACCTGGTATAGAGGGTTCTCATACCGGTGTTTTCGGTTACCTCTAAGCCTTCGGCCGTTAAATGCACTAACAAGACACTTGATACATGCTCGCGGTTTTATACAAACCTGCAAACGGAGATAAATCAATCAATCAGTGGTGATCTAAGTGAGGGTATATTTCATGGTTATTAAAATTTCACAACCAGTCTAGGGCATGAGACGAAGGGCAGGATTATCCACAGCACGTGTCGCGATAAACATGAGAAAATATCAATGAACCGATACATCAATTCTGCCCAGCTACCATTTCCCATTATCACTATCGCTGCATTGTAGTCTTCAACTCAATCAGCTTCTTATTCTATCTAAAGGTTTTTACAGTGCTGAAATAAGTGTAAAGTGAGTAGCTATTATGTACAAGTATAAGTCCTCTCACCTTTTAGATAAGTTACTTTTCACTTACTTAAGCAACTTTATAACCCTGTATTTCAATAGACGGAAGTAAATTTCCGGCGCTGGAAGCTAAATTCAATATGCCCACCTCGCACAGAATAAACGTTTATCAAGTCATCTAAGTTTGTAAGTCATGTTAACTAAAGCTTAGGAGCGTTGCTTTCCTATGGAAACATTAGGCTTTTCGTCTCCGTTCAGGAATCCAGCGATCTTGGGAGGACCTGCTTCAATAAATTGTGGCGTTTCGATGGCTTATGTTGCCGAGATATGGCAAATAAGATATATGTGGATGAGCAGGATGTGTTAGTTTAAGATAGGGTCATAAGGTGGTAGAAGTCTGTATATAATGGGAGGACACTGGACTGTATAGGTCTCGTGTTTCAATAACAAGCATACTTATCTGTCTTGCCTAATAACCTCACCTCAAAGACCGATACGATAGGAGCGAGCCCCTTTCTTGTTACTCATTTCCTAGAGAAGCATCATCATTTACATGTTGATTTATTTAGACATGCCTTTAAGCAAGTAATTCAGTGTCGAATTTCATGAGAAACTTTTTGTATTACAAAGTGGCATGTTAGTTAATAAATACAGTGGCTTCTCTTAAGTTTGTTCATTGTAAAGTCGGTCCTCCATCTTTTAAAAAGAAAACTCCTACCAGAAACCTTTCTTCTGTAGCAGATCATGTGCGACTAGCGTTTGGTGAGTATCTCTAAGTTTGAATTTGTCGGACGAGTGATAGGTAGCACACCAAACTGGAAGAATATATAGGGTCAGAAGGGTCACTTTTGGACGTAAATGAACCGCGTGGGAGCTCAGGGGTGAATACGACTTAATTGCATATCATTTTGTTCTGGAATTTGAGCAACTACTTTTCGAACTGAACACACTCTTAGGTATTGGTTTCTTGAAGCTCTTAGTATTGTATATTATGTATCTACCTAGGCTATCTTGATATTTCTTGATGAGTATGTTGATGCAATATCCCTACTAACCATCTCGCCTGGACGCCGCAGCTGCTCCAGAGACCGATGAGAACCTACCTAGGCTCCAACAGATACGCCATTCGGCCGCGTCTGCAGTATCTGTGGTGCCTGCGGCGTCTGCGCCGCGATCCACTCCTCGACCCATTTGCGCGTCCAGTCGAGGCCGACGGCCGGCATGCCCTGCATCGTCGGGCTGACGAGCGCGCGCTCGACCGCCATCAGCTGCGTGGTGCCTCCGTTGTTCCAGAGGCCGTCGCGGTAGAACTCGAGCAGCTTGATGGCCGGGTTGGCCGCCGCCGCCGCCGTCAGGTCGCGGGCGTCGCCTTCGGACGCGGCCGCTATGCTCTCCTGCAGCCGGCCCAGCCAGGTCGATGGCGGTACGATCTCGAGCGTCCGGTCGAGGCGCAGACGCGCCGTCTCGGCGATGGCCGGCACCAGCGCCTCCCAGGTCGTCGTGTTCGGGTTTCGGAGGTTGAACACTTCCGCGCCGTCATTACCCGGTGTCTTCTGGCTGGATTGGGATGCGAGGTCGACGACGACGTTGGCTAGCAAATCTGATGGCACCCAGTCGATTTCCGAGAACTGGGGGCCCAGGTGTTCCGGCAGGCAGCCGAGATGCAGAGAGCTAATCACGAGGCTCGGCAGCCACTCGGAGCGGTTCCATAGACCGGGCTGGGAGACAGGGCCGGCGACCTGGCCGACGCGAGCAATTGCCACGGGGATCCCCAGGTGCCGGGCCGCAGCGTCACAGAGGTGCTCCGACAGGAACTTGCTGCGTGCGTATCCGTTGGAATACTGCATGTCGAAAGACTCGAGAACCGCCTCGGGAGCGGGCCCGGCCGATGCTGGCCGTCCACCCACGACGCCGACGGACGAGATGAAGATGACCCGGGTCGTGCGCGGTGCCGATGCGGCCGCGAGCGCAAAGAGGTTTACCAGTCCGGCTAGCTGTGGCCGGAAGGCTGGTAGCCCTAGGTTGAAGTTGACCGACCAGGCGTTGTGGATGATGAGTCCCACACGGGAGCGCAGCTCTTCGTACGCCGCCTCGTAGAGGCCCAGCAAGGGGTGTGCTAAGTCTGCCTGCAGGAAAGTGACGCGGTCGCTGAAGCCATCGGTTGGGAACCCGGCGGCTGCGAAGCGATCATCCTGCGCGGTACGGCCGCCGTCCTTGGCACGGTTCAGGCAGAAGACGTGTCCGATATCTTTCCGGGTCAGCAACGACTGCAAAATAAAGGTACCCAGTGCGCCAGTAGAGCCAGTCAGTATGACGTCCACCTGCGGCTCTTCATTTGGGTAGACGAGCTTGGGTGCCGGGATCTGGTGGACTAGTCCGCGATACGTATTCAGCAAGGGCTCCATGATTTCACTATCATTAACCCCATCTTCTTCTGCTCGGAGCGCCGTCGTCAAACGCGAGATTGAGGGGTTGTTGTAAATTGTAGGTAAGGCGAGATTTTGGCGGTAAAGGCCACGCTTCAAGATGCGAGTAAGCTGCAGCGCCTGCAACGAGTCCATACCGCGGTCAAAGAAGTTGTCCGTGTCGCGTACGCTCGGCCAACGCGTAACGGTACGGACACTGTCTCGGACAAAGATAGTTACGGCCTTAGGATCGGTCGTATCGAACGGCGAGTTGGCTCGATCTTCATCCGGACCCAAGTCTGCATTGGCGTACAGCCTCTCGATCTCGGCCGTGTATTGAGCTAAACTAGCAGACCGTTGGATGGTCCCCTTGCCGGCACGAATGAGGGGACGATCCGCCTGCGTTATCATAATTAGAGACTTATCGACGCGTGCGTGCGCAGGAGAAAGCTGGTTGGCCTCCTCGACACTAGGCCAGACACGCTCGATCAGGGCTGCCTGCTCAGCCGTGGTGAACGGATTGGCCGCGGCGTCCGGCTCGATCAGAAGAGCTGCTTGGAATCGCTGCGCGCCAACGACAACAGCGCCGGTTATGTCGGCGTTCTTGGCCACCACGTGCTGCTCCATAGAGACGGGGTTCGTCTTTTCGCCATTGAGAAAGACTATGATGTCGTCAGCACGGGCCCGCCAGCACCATGTATCAGCGGCCGTTGGATGTCGCTCAAACAGGTCGCGGGTGCGGTATTCCTTCTCGAGCTTGTCTTGTCCCCGAATGCCAAATGCTGCCTGCGTGTCAGCGAGGGCTTCGTCCCGTCGTATGACCAGCTCATAGTTGCCATCGGCAACTTCATCGAAGACGGCGCCCGCGCACGGATGGAAGCGTATGTAGCGCCAGTCGGTCGGCGCCAGGTCATCCGGCAACAACTGCTGCGGGATACCAACCTCAGATGCACCCCAGAGGCACCGCAGTCGTACCTTAGTCGCGACAAGGTCCCCAATAGCCTGTGGCAGGTCACCTCCGATGTAAAGAATCATTTCGAGATGGCTGGCGCAGTATTCGAGTAGCTCAGGACTCTGAGCCAACTCGGCCACCACCGACGGCACTAAGACCGCTATGTCGGCCGGTGTCTGCTTGAGCGCATCTACGAGGCCTTGGCCGGTTGCGATGGCTCCTGCTGCCGGCGCAATCACGGAGTTACCAAATGGAATAGCATTGAATAAATATTGTGCCAGACCAGCTCCCTGGGAGGGTTAGCCTTTATCACACATGGTGGAATATGGGCTTGGTTGGACTTGGGCATACATGGAATGGTGGCACCGTGGCCATCACCCTCTTACCGTGACAGAAGCGGTCAAGCGAAGGTATTCCTTCCGGAGGGTCACGAGCGGAGCAGTTGTGATGTCTTGCCCCCGCTTCCTGAGTCCATATCAAGGGCTTTGGGATGCCTGTCGACCCAGATGTGTGTCTGTAAGAGGTCAGGGGTCGTGCCGCATACACTTGACTGCGAACTCTCCAGCAAAACGTACATGATCCACAACGGGTCCCAGCGCCCTTCTTCATAAGTCTTGTTGTATACATATGGCGGATAAGCCTTTCCGATCAGCTCGTCTATGCTTGGGGCTGTGAGCAGGCGCGGCTTGACAGCTTCGATAATCCCCAAAGCTGGAGGCGGTGTTGGAGCCGTTGTCACGAGAGTGGTGCACTTCAGAGACTCAAAGAGCGAAAGGTGTGCCGCCGGGCTATTACGCGGCGATGTAAGGAAGAGCTGTCGGATAGTTAGCAAACCAACTGCCCTAGATGCCACCGCCGCGGAAAGAGGTTACTCACAGCATATCCGGCTTTGATGGAGGCCAGCACTAGAGCAGTAAGTCGCACATCATTAGGTCCGACATAAGTTAGCACTTCGTGGTTCTGGCCCGGGCCGAGCCGCTCGACTAGCCACCAAGCTAAGCCGTTAATAATGTTAGCTAACTGGGCG